CCTTCTCTGCCAAGTTATATAAACATCTTTGCTTTTAATTAAAAACAAATATAAAAAATATAAACAAATACAAAATTAAAAAAAAAAAAACACAACTTTTTGGGCGATAATTATAATTTATAATAAAAATAATAATAATAAAAGTGAAACTTTAGGTTTTTGTCACTCAATGCTCTTTATCGAAAGCCATGCTTACCACCACCAGTTGCAAGTACACGTGAAAATTGAAAGAAACGTCCACTGTGTAAACCACCCGTCCCCAATTAAAAAAATCGAAACGATATTTTCCAATACCAACATCTCTTCCCCCCAATTTGTCGCGAATATCTCACTACTTTCTTTTGAACTCCACACGTGCCGCACGTGAGACTTACACGTCATCACTATCCCCAAAAATCATCACCCTCTCATGCTCTGCTGCTGCACCGCACGCACTCATAACTCGCGCGCATCAGCACCCACATAAATGAGAAGTAGACGGAAGTGAGCTGAGTGAACTATTCGACTACTCGACTTTCTGAGTCAAGGAAGAAGCCGGAGGTTTTATAATTACAAAAAGACCCTTCTCCTTCTCCACAGGTACGGTCACCGGCAACGGTGGGGCACCCACGTCGGCGGTCGGCCCCACCACCACTACCACCACCACCCTTCTCTGTTTCGCAACATTGAGATCTGGGTCCCGCTCGAAAATCTTCCGTTTGATTCGATACACTGACATGGGCAGTGAATACTCATACGGTGGTTAAATACACGTATATATGCATATAAACAGTATTTGTGTATAACGTACCGTATGGATCCGTTTTGATCATCTCTTGTCTCTATTCGTATCTCGTCTCTTTGCGTGTTAAGCGTTGAATTTTGTTAGATTCGTTCTCTCTTTCGCAATAATAATGCTTTGCTGTTTCTCTCTCTCGTTTTAATATATTCGATCAGGAACTAGTGTTCCCAGATCGAGACCATCAAGCTAACAGAGAGAGAGAGAGAGAGAGAGAGAGAGAGAGAGAGAGAGAGAGGTCCATTGTTAGAGAACTAGGTCTCTCTCACAAGAAAAGAATCGATCCACACACAAACAAAACCTTACCCATCTGTTCTTCTCTTTATTTTTTATTATTTATTCTAAATTCTCATTTTCATTTGTATATTTATTTCTCTCTCTCAACCCTTTCTCAGTCTCTCTGGCACTGGTTCCTTTGTTGATTGTATAATGTGGGGTGGGTGGTGACTTTGTGTTTCTTGTGGAGAGAGTGGGTTAAAAGCTCAGAGAGAGAGAGAGAGAGAGAGAGGGAGAGGGGCAGAACAAGGAGTAGCGGAAGTTGAAGAACTTGTTTAGGTATTTAGCAACGGAAGAGAGATAGAGAAACACAGAAAGAGTGAGAGAGAAACAGAGAAGGGTACTGGTTTTGCTAGGTGTGTCTCCGTGGTTTTGAAGCTCGGATGGAGACTAAAGGAAGGCTCATTGCAGGTTCTCATAACAGAAATGAGTTCGTCCTCATTAATGCTGATGAGATTGCAAGAGTAAGTACCTTAATTTTTTTTTTTAAATCTGTTTTTGCAAAGGTATACGCGGAGCATTTTAGTATTTGAAGAATCTGGAGGAGCGAGAGTTGAGAAAGTGTTTTCATTTCTGGGTTTTAATTTGCCCATTCCGTTTTTCGGTCTTTATTAGAGTCCAGATTCAAGTGAAAACAATAGTTTGGTTCGTCCATAACCTTTTCTTATTACGAGCTGGGCACGAGACTTGCGCACTAGAGTTTTGCAAGTTTGGTTTTGCATGAGAGTGTATGCACTTATTGAGTGAGATTGTTGGTTCTAGTGAACAGGTAGCTTGGCCCTTTAATTCAGGAAACTAAACTATGTTATTATTAGTCTCAGGTGACGTCGGTTAAAGAATTAAGTGGGCAGATTTGCCAGATCTGCGGTGATGAGATAGAGATTACAGTAGACGGGGAGCCATTTGTTGCCTGCAACGAATGTGCATTCCCTGTTTGCAGACCATGTTACGAATACGAAAGAAGAGAGGGGAATCAAGCATGTCCTCAATGCAAAACCAGATACAAGCGTCTCAAAGGTAAGCTATGGTGATTTTCTTTTGTGGGTAACACAGTTCTCCTCTTACCTCTTCGAGAAAATACCTTTCTAAAACTTGTTACTGGTGTTTGCGGGGCTAACTATGTGATGGGTTGCAGGAAGTCCTAGAGTAGATGGGGATGAAGAAGAGGACAATACTGATGATTTGGAGAACGAGTTTGGAAGCCTTGGCAGACCGAGCCTCACACATTGCTGAGCATCCTCTCTTCTCGCTTATGTGGCCGTGTTCTCAATTGATGGTTCAGGTTCCGGACACCGTCAGATTTGGATTCTGCTTCTGTGCTCCTGACATCCCTCTATGACTATGGTCAAGAGTGAGTATACACAGTAGCTGTCTATCTATATATATAGCAGTCATACATACATGATTCTTT